AAGGACAGTCTTAGACGAAAACGTTTATAGTTAATAATAACTGATGTGAAAAACAGTCAAAGATAGCGGCTAATTTAGCCGATCCCAGAACGATACTATGGATATACAGGGTGTTCCACATGTCATAAAAACCCTGTGTACCAAATTTAGTTATTTTCGTACATGGTTTTGAGATATAAAAAAGACTTCTTAGGGGCAGATTTCAGGGGGCTGTAACTGCGAATGAGGGGGCCAGTTGACAAATAGAAAAAAATACTGATCCCCCCCTAAATTTGTCTTAAGAATCTATGACCAAATTTTGTTGCATGAATTTCGGGACACCCTGTATATACTGTGATTCATGTCGTCAATTCCGATACACTGACGGTCCAGTTATTAAAAATAAATTAATCAGTTATAATAATAAGTGAACCTATAAAAGAGTGTTACAATTTTTAATGATTTGTTGACTAACGAATCTGATATTTTCAATTCCGAAATTTTGTTTCATCTTTTCGATTTCTATGGCAATTCTATTTTGATCAGTAGATAAGGTTGAAATTGTTTCAGTAAACGTTTTTAAAAGTGGTTGAAGAATAGATAATTACAAGTTCATTTGTGTTTCTATGCTATGTTGATTTTTATTTAAGATTGTTAATTGTTTCTGCTTTAGTTGTTACTGTTGCTACTGCAGCTGTTGTTGTAGATATTATTGCTGTCATTGTTCCTGCTGCTGTTGTTGTTGAGCAGCAACTGCAGTAACACCGACAACAACAACAACAGAAGCAAGATCAATAACAACAATAACAACAACAGCAGCAGTTGTAACAACTATAACAACTGTACATTAAAAAATGGAAATGCACAATACAAGGTACATAAAATAGAGAACGACAGTACTAAATATCCCTTAAATATAAAAAAGCGCCATGGGACAAGGTGCATAAAAAAATGTATTAGTTAAATCGACTATCGAAACAGATTTACTCGCAAGTAATTTGAAGGGTTACCAACATCCACTAAATATTAAATAATATTGTATATACTAAACGGACCTAAAGACATAAATGCGGCATGGTGCATAAAATGTTGTTATGCTTTACTAAAGCTACTGAAGAAGCATATTTTTTCGCGAATTATTTCAAGCGATATAAAACATTTATTTATTTATTTATTCAACTGACTAAACTGATTTAACTCTGGAAATGCGACATGGTGCTTTATGCACAGTTGTACAGTAAATTGTTATACATCGTGAAAGTATATCCAAATAATATATAATATACATGGGGCAAGATAAATTTTTGGTGTATATCTGCAAAAATAACGGTCCTGCAACAATGCAATTATTGATGCCATCGGATTGGCATAGTATTTGACTACGGGATGTCAAATTTGACATGAATCAAATAATACGTATTAAAATTATACAGGGTGCAAGAAGTTTGACTGCCATTACTTCAGCTTCAGATAGGGTATTCATAAATGAACAAAACAGTTGTATATTACAGGGGCGTAAGATTAACAGTTTTCAAAATACAGCGACTATTAATATTGGGTAGTTTCATCACAACGTGATAACAGCGCTACACAGTTGATGCACACCACGTGTACACGCGACTTGTCCTACGGAAAACATGTAAACAACTATTATTGGGAAACATTTAGTAAATTTAAAGACAATTGTTTTCCAGATTTTAAATAGTTAAAATAAAATGTATCGATTTTGTAGTACGAAGATAGTGTTGTACTTAAATTTTAGCTCGAGTTTTAGGAATTATGAATATCTTAAAACAGGAACATAACTTTTAATAAAATTATGACTGAAAAATATGTAATTAAAGAATCCAAAGATTCACGTCGTCCAAATTATCATACGTATTAAAAATTAGTAATTTTTAAACGTACAAGTACAAAACAAACTACAACATATGCTCAAAATTTCCATCACTATTTTCGATGCACGCACGACACTTTCGAATCCAATATTAGCGTACTCGCTGGAAACAAAGGAAATAGTGGTACGCAAAAAACACTCCGATACGGTCGAATTCCAGATACCAACTGAATTGTGTATTGGTGGACAACATAGTACCTCGTGTTAATCGCCGCGCCGTTGTCACATTGCTCGATATGAATTTTATCGAATTTTAAATTTATTACAACGCTAATTATTTTTTATAATTAACCATAAAAGAAGTTGATAAAGGTGATAAACATTGTATTTTATGGTATTCTATAAACGCAGTTATGTCAATAATTCTTAATTAATCGAACTTTTGTAGATCAAGTTAGAGATTTTGATCATTTTTCTCTCGGAAATGGTTGAGTTTAGAACCCATTTTATTTATTTTAATGTATTCTATCGTCTGTTAAAATTAAGGCACTCATACTTCTAACACCCTTTAGAGGCCATTGTTTAAATGGGTACTTATTTTATTGTGTAAAAACACCCTGTATGTTGAATCCTTTTTATTTAATTTTACAGAACTCGTTCGTGTTTTTGAAACGTGTTACCACGGATCCAGTGAAATATACAGATACAAAACAAGTCGCGAAATGACGGAAAGCCCGTGTGTCGCATTCGCCCTGTACCTTTGAAGCATGAACAGTCTAGTCATTAGGCAGCCCTTTTCTTATATCAGTTATTACAATGTACTAAATTGTGTTATATTGGTAAAAAGATATTATCATCATGTTTCTTAATAAATTTTGTTCTGACTTTACCTCTGTTTTATTTAAAGTGATATTTCATGAATTTTCATTTTGGAAAAGTCTGGAGAGAGCATTTGGAACGGCAGTAGTAGTAGAACAGCAACAGCAACAGCAACAGCAACAACAACAGCAACAACAACAACAACAACAACAACAACAACAACAACAACAGCAACAGCAACAGCAACANAACAACAACAACAACAACAACAACAACAGCAACAGCAACAACAACAACTACAACAACAATAACAACAACAACAACAACAACAACAACAACAACTTACTGACCCACTTTTATGTCAATTTTTAACAAATAATAAAAATTAATATTTCAATTAAATTTTAAGGAATAGAGCAAAAATATTTTCAATTTTTTTTGCTCCCTTTTTTGTTTCAAACAAAAAGTCCCCTCCGCCTTTCCTTCGATTTTTTTTTGTTCCATTTTTTGTCAATTTTTAACAAAAAACAAAAAAAAAATTCTTTTGCTCCGGATTATAAATTACAAATTAAAGTTAAGCTTTGTTGTTGTTGTTGTTGTATTTTTGCGCTGCGATTCCTTGTAGCTGCGTTGATTGAAGCAACATCAAAAATATACTCCCAGCCCCAGACAATTTATTCAACGTCTAGGTACTGGGAACATACATCTTCGAATGCTGCTCCTTTTCTCTGTACAGCTTCCTGCGAAAGTCCTCCTGAAAAAATAATTAAAAAATGTTTATATCTGCCTACCATATGCTTCTTCTTAAGTCTTAACGAAAAACAAATACCACAAGTGAATTAAACGGACTTTGATTAGTTGAAGCTAATTTTTTCAGTATTTTTCTAAGAAATAGCTCGGAAGCCCGGTACATCTCGCTGTTCAAATTTCCTTCGAAGAAATGTGGTCCTGTAACTTCATTATTTGTTGTTACAGCGCAAACGTTTACGGAGAATCTTCTCGAATAGCACGAGAGTTTTCGATTGCCCAGACATGATCGTTGTGGAAATTGTTCATACTGAGGGTTGCTTTCGCTGTACAGCAAAAATAAAACGCTCTCTCAACGGTAAGAAGTAAAGTATTTTTATTGAGAAGTATGTTTGTAGAAAAAGACCTGTTGTCGGTTTGAGGGTTAGCTGGAGAGTCCGTCTTGACGTGAAGTCGCTCGCAGAAGTACCTGGTCCTTAGCGCCAATCTGCCGGGGTCGTCTTCCGGGAACTCTGGTGTGTCCGGGCGGCGTCTCGCTGGCGCTCTTGACATTGTACTTAAAATGGTTTACTTGCGAACATGTGTAACCACAATACCATCTCTTGTAAATGTAGCTTCGTCACATAAAAGGATTCTTGGAAGACTATCCAGCTGATTGATTGCTCCACCATCCACAAAGACCAACTCTTTAGAGAAGTTCTTGTACCGGTCGGTAAAGATAGGCATGCAGTCCGTTTTCTCGCCAAGTGTCTTGCACAGTCGTCCAGTGAGTACAGAAATTCTTCTCGTACTAGTACCAGGATCATTTTCAACAAATTCAAGCACTTCTACAACATTGTTTCTTCGCATAACTTCTCTTTCACAAGTCGGTTTAGGGAACGCTCCTGTTAATCGAAGAGTTGTGAAGGTTCTATTGAAGTTTGCTCGTCGGTAAGACGGCGCGCGGTTTGGATATCGTCGTTGATATCCGTCCCCGAGACAGTGGCGGTAGTACTACCGTTCCATACACGAAAATCATGACCGCGTATTCTTCATTTGAATAAATTAAAGGCATAATTTTAACAGAAATGACGTAAAAAATAAAAAAGAACCAACTGTCGATGATGATAATTAATGAACTTACCTTGTCGCAACAATGTAATTTACTTTTTAGCAACTACCCATACGATCTGGCAACTTCAAACCCCGATATTTCAAGAACCGTTGGAAATTCGGGAAAAATAGAAAAAATAGAATATAATCGTTTTTGCTTAAAATTAGTCATAGAAATAAATAAATAAATAAATAAATAGAATTCATATACGAAGTAAATCGGAATTTGCAAGTAAATTTGTTTCGGTAGTCGATTAAATTCATAAAGCATTACTCTTCTTTATGCACCATGTCGCTTTTTTATATTTAAGACATGTTTAGTACTGTCTTACACTATTTTAAGCACCTTGGGATATTTTGTATTGTACATTTCCAATTTTTTTAATTAGTTTTAAAGGCTTACTTATTATTGCAACTGCTTAATTTATTTTTAATAACTGGAGTATTTACTTTGTGAGTGTAATTATATTTAGTTTCCATCCGAGCCATCGGTATGTCATAATTGACGACATTTTATTTTTTTCAGGTTATTTTCATTCCAAGATCTCGATTAACGAAATTTGTGGACTTGTCCCAGCTTCCCACTGAAGTTGGTGGTAATTTCGTTTATAATCATGAAAAATGGATTGCAACCAGACAGGTAAGAATGAATTATAAAGTTAAGATAAGCGTTTTGTAAATTAATTAAAGAAAGTATGTGAAGTATAGTAAAACCGCAATCAAAATATTATTAACGGCTATATTTTAGTATGGTTATAATTATATTTTACAGAAAATTTTTACTTAATTAATTCGTTTGGACACATATTAAAGGAAAGCTGTAAGAAAAACAGTTTTAATTCAACTTTAACTAAAAACTGGTCGAGTAGAATGTGGACCATAACAAGATTACGAGAAATAATAAAAAAATATATATGTAATAATTGGTTTTAAAGAAGTATGTATATTGATAAGTGGCCATTTCTAGATAGCCACAAAATAACAGATGTCCATTCTGACTCATGACTCATACTCTAGTAAGTCGTATTCTTCTTATTTTAGAACCAAGGATCGTCTTACCATGCATAAATCATTCAGGCACTTTTTTAAATGGATGTTGTAAGCAGCTATATCTGATACATAAACTGCGGTTTGATAGTGTGGCTGGGTTATTTTTCGCCAGTGACACCAGTGTCAATAATCTCGGTGGAATATTTGCGAAATTACTTTCTCATGTACATAGATACCTATACTTGTTTTTTCTTTCGTTGCTCTATAATTTATGTAAAATGGAAATGAGCTGTTTATATACCTACTATTAACTCGGCATTTTACAAAGAATAACTAAAAATTATAAATTTGTTTTGCAAACTTTCTGTAGCTTAGGTATTATTAATAATTTTACACTTTCTACTAAGTCTAGTCTAAATTATTAACGGTAATTGAATGTTTTTATAGTTAACTTCTCTAAATAAAACCATTGTGCAACTAAATATTTAACAAAATACAAAAAATGCCAATTCCACACTGAGGTATGCATTCTTTCAATCAAAAAGATTTAGTTCCTTAGAAGTTATACAACAAATTGGGCTTTCTTCGTTTATTTAAATTTCCTTCTAATATCTAAAACACTTAGGGGTATAGTCTTTCCGAAGTCAGTTGAACATGTAAAAAACGCCTAGCAATAAAATTTAATGACTTTCATAGGCGTCCCTAAGTTTTCTGCTAAAGGTAAAAAATTATAATAATTTGTATATAATGTGTAGAAAATTTCTATTATATGTTCATTTGGCCAACAACATATTTTAATTATTTATGTCCTCAAATAATTTTATTATATTGATGGTAAATTTCATTTTGTTCCGTTTCAAAAGGTTTCCAAAATGCCATGTTGTTATAATATTCTTGTATAAGTTTCTGGGAACAATAATATTTAACCGTTTTCATTATTATCCTACCAAATTAAATTGACAAATGGAAGATAAATAACATACACTAAGAAAATATTTATCTTTTCTTGATATTTCACATAGGCAAAGGACGTATATTACTAAAACAAACAGGTAAAAAAGTAGCCAAACTGTTCTGTCTTTTACTTTACTGTCTTTCTTTTATCTGGAATTTTTCATGATTTAACAATGCAAACTTGATTGTCAGTAATTAAAATAAATACTCAAATTTTACTTCTGATTCTGAACTATCTTCAATGATAAGCCGGGCGAATTAGACCAAACACATGCCTGTTTCAAAGCCTAACAAAATTTTATGGGCTTAAAATTAAGTAAAAAATACACAGAATAAAAACCTAAATTTGTGCATTTCCAGAGGTCGAGCGTCATATTGTTTATAACAAAAGAAAAAAAAAATAATTGCTCTTTTTTCAATTTTTCGCTTATATCTCCGAAAGTAAGCTCCTAATCGACATGAGGTATACTTATCGATTTTGTTCCTGAGGAAATTTGATACAGGATAGGCTTTTGCGAAAGCTCGCAACATTTTTTTTTACATTACAAAATTAGCGGTGAAGAAAAAAATGCAAAATTTTCAGCATCAAATAAAAAGAACAAATTTGAATGAAAATGGGTGAAAAGATAACTGTTGGGGTGCTCAACAAATACCCACAATACGGACCCCCAATTTCAAAATGGCGGCCTACTGCAAAATTATAAGGTCGTACGTAAAGATATCGAAATTTTGTAAAAAAGGATCGAAAGGTATACATTGTTTCGCGTTTGCGTAAATTTCAGATTTTTGCAAAATAAAAAAGTTATTAACAAAAAACCAAAAAAGAGATAATTTTTTTTCTTAGAAACTAATCTGGCTGTTCTATTTAATATTCTGTAATAAACTTGGGCCCGCTGTAAAGTAGAAGACTTCCTTTATATGCTGAATTTTTTTTAATGGATTCGACCAAGCTGTGACGTCAGTGCCGCGCCCGCTTCTCAAAATTCTTACTCAACAAATGGATTGTGGCACTTAGGAAGAAGCTACCGGAATGCTTTTTTAAAAAATTAACTAATTTTTTTGCGCTCTTTCGAATGGTGTAAGCAAAAGCCTGTGAAAGTCATCGCCAGACCACAAAAAATACATTTTTATTGACTTTTCACGTTTTCCTTTGTAATTTCATTATGATTTCGATATTTTGAAAAGTAAGAAGGTCTTTTTACGTATTTAAAAACAACAAGTTCTTTGGAAATGGGGATCAGTGGGTACTCTAATAATTTTTCTGATAAATTTCATTAATTTATTAACTTAATTCAGATAAATGCAAAAAAAGTCTATTGAATGCAGGAATTAACTTTATTTGTCGGAATTTTGGAAACACATTTTGAATTTATTAGAATTAATTAATAACAAACCTTTAAAATAAAGTAAAACACCCTATATTTTAAGACGTTTTGCTTTATAAATATAAACGTCATTGATACTGAAGTAAATGCATTCGTTACCATTGCAGAAAGTTGAGGAATTCTACAGCGACTGCGAGCTAACCTTAAAAGAACTGGATGAACTTTATCAGTACGTATTGAGAAGTAAAGCACTGCGACCTAGTCAAGTCGAGGATGTCATAAATACGAGCTCCGATATGGCAGAATCGACAAGAATGCTTGTGCACAATGCCATGGAAACAGGTGGGTAATAGTGGTAATAGATCCGTGAAGCAATTCCATTAGCCGTACCTACTTTAAAAAACGACACCGGTTACTTTTAAGAAGGGTAAAAATTTGTTAAGGGGTTGAACTGCACGACACGCATGCCTGTTGCTGTTTGTCTATTTAGTAGACAGTGAACATTGAGCTCTAGTGGGTTGTTAGTATTTGTATCAACACACTCATATTGATTGTACGTAAATAAAAATGCTTAATGAAAAACGAGTAAGTGACAACTTTTTAGTAAATTATTGTTGTTTTTTATAATGGAATAACAAATAAATTATCCCAACATTTACCGTTTTCTGTAAATTAATTGCACAATAATTGTTTTGCTACGTCCTAAACTCTGTAGATTTTTAAATAAGCCTCACTTTCTCGTAAATCAGTAATGAAACAAAAGAAGGCTGTAGCAGCTAATGTCGTCAATACGAACTGATATTTTTAGGTAGAGAGTTGGTCCAAAATATAGAATACGACAATAGAACCCGGAAGCTAGCAGCAGAAGAATTCGAACTAATGTCTACTCCCCAGGACACCCTGGACACGATCGAAAGAATTGACGAAATTATTGACGGGGTAAAACGGAAGCAACAGGAAATCGAAACAGCGTGGGTCAAAATGGAGAAGAGCTTTATAGATACCAAAGACTTAAGTCAGCTAGAGGAAGGAGTTGTTAAAGTTATCAATTGGATTCTGGGACCTGCGGAAAATTTGCTCAATTCCAAACAGAAGGTGGGCTACGACGTTTCTTCAGCAGAGGAACTGAGGAGAGAACACGAAGGTATCGAGTTACAATGCTGGGAAACTTACGGAGCCTATGCTGAACTGATTCATAAGATTAACAGCTTCACGAACAACGAGAACTTATCAGTACAACACAAAGACTTGATTTCCCAAAAAGACTTTATGGATTTCGTGTGTAAAAGTTTTGCGTTGAGGCTCGAAAGAAGGAGAAATATCCTCATAACTTCTTTGAGGTTCTTCAGGCTAGTTTCCGAATACTTTGACAGAACTGGCGAAGTGTTCGACTGTTTGGTAATGGGAAGCAATGTGGCGGATTTTAAGTCGGCGGGGATGAAGCTGAAAGAGTTGCAGGAGAGTCAAACAAATTTAGGTAAAGTATTTCTTCTCTTATTGACTTTGTTCCTTTTTGAAAAAAATTCGAACATTCTAAGATTTTCTTCCTATTCCCCTTTAAAAGTATTTATATTGTAGGAATAGTGTCTTAGAAGCTGTAGTTGGTGTTAAATATAGCAAATAGTCAAAAATTTCTGCACTACTGTATTCTTCCACTTTCACAACTAATGACTTGTTTTCATTTAGTATAGGTTTACTCAAACATACCAATCTATAATCTTAATGAAAGAATATTTAAAACTTTAATGATGATGTTAGAAAACCTTGTATTACGTTAACTATATTTTCAATTGACATTATTATAATTAATTGTAAATAAAGGTTAACCTATATAAATTCCTCAGAAACCTTTGCCAATGAAACATTATATCTACCTACTACAAATCTACCTTCTGCAGTAGGTAACAAGTAATATTAGAAAAGTTACGGGTGACTTCTTCCATATTGTGTGTTTATTATATAGTTCACCCCCACCCTCTGCTTTTGTTGAAACATACCAACTGTTAGATGTATTTCTGGAACTTGCACTCATGTGTAAACGCCAGATGTTAAAACATCTTTTTGAGAGAATAAGAAATGGCGGGTAATATTGATGTGTTAATGCACTTTTAAAGCACCATTAGTTTGCTGTTTCCAGTCGTCAGGCCATAAATTAAATCACAGTAAAATCGTTGATTTAATTGATTAGTTTAAAGAATAAAGTCCTGTTGCATTTATTAAACATACCAAATAATTTATGTCATTCACAGTAATTTATTCTTCGCAAATATAGATAGGCTTAAACTACTTTTTTGTTGGAATAGCTTTTTTCTTTTTCTGGTATAGGAAAGTATTCTGGAACTAAAAAATGTAACAAATAAATTTTTTCAAAGAGATCAATCAATCGAAACAACTGGTTTTGATGAGCTTTCCTAGATTACTTCCGAAAATACATCGCCATACTACGTTAATTGTTTGATTATATACAATTTCAGATGCTGTTGAAAGAGAGCTAGTTAAAGAGGGAGAGAAACTCTCAGACATGCTCTCGATGCCAGTTAAGGACTCCTTGGGCAGGGAAATAACCGTGGACTATTCAGAAGACATAGTGAATATTAGAGACATATTGGACGCCACCACTGCCAGGAAAAACATATTTTCTGATAGCGTAGAACTACAAAAAGTTACATTGGAGCAAGTAACTCACATAGACAGTTATGAGAAGGATGTAACCCAGGCGATTCAGTGGTTGGACGATCTTCTACAAGTGATGTTGAAGGATCATGGCCATGTTGGTTGCACTGTTAACGAAATTCAAAGGCAAAAGGAAGAGCATCAGAGTTTCCAGGAAACCGCTAAGGTACTTATTATTTTGCACATGTCGAATTAGGTTGAATTTAGGTAAGTACAAAAATCAACTGTTTTGAAATGTCTCTTTGATACGTTTTTATTAGACACTACAAGGATCAGTTCTTGGTCTTCTCTTCATCTTAATTTATGCTAGCGATCTACTCTTTTGTATGAATAATTCAGTGGTAGCTATTCAAGTTGCTGATGATTCAAACCTCACTAACCGCAGTCATGTAATTGATGATTTAACAGAAATAGCCCGTCAAGCTCAATTAATCGTGAAGAACTGGTTTCTTTTTAATCAATTCAACCACAATTCTGTTAAAACAGAGTCATATTTAGCTTAAAGGAAGCCAAATATATTCTAAATCCTGACAGTAAATTTTTTAAGGTACATTTAGACTCTAAATTATTATGGAATTGTCATACTGATTATATATGTAAGAAAATGTATACCTCCGTACTCTGAATCATCAAGTGACATCATAAACTCTAAAAACAGCTTCTCATTGACTTTTCACTCTGAATAAATGTTTTTTATGACCTATGACTCAATCATATATTATTGTTGAACAAGAAAAAATTTATTTATATCATTTAGCGTCATTTTTAGGGTACCTACAACTACGGATGCCAGCTTTTGAACGCCTCCCTAGTCTTACGACAGTCATGTAAGTTACCACTGGATGACCACGCTAACCTCTACCAGAAACTCAGGACATCGTGGCAACGGTTGTTGGGCGTGAGCCAAGAACAAATGACCAGACTGAGAGTATCTGCAGTCTTTCATAGATCCGTGGAAGAACAATGCAACCAGTTGAGGGATCTTAGAGAGGCTGTGGCGACAATTCCTTTGATGGATTTGGCGAGGAAGAAAGAAAGAGTTAATTATTATTTTAGTCTGAGGGAAAAATTGATAGTTGAAGTTGGGAGGATGGTGAGGCTGGGAAGGCTTCTCAGGAGTAGACTGAAGGATCCGCTTTATTATGGCGAGAAGTAAGTAATTACTAACAATAACTATGACTAAATTTTTGCTTAACCTGATATTTGTTCTAACTAATGATATCTTCAGTCATACAGTGACTATAAAATAAATAAAATCAGAACTAGCGAAAATATTAATCAATGAATAAGGATTTTTAGGAAACAATGATTTGATGATGATACTAACAGGAAATTAATTATTTTAACAATATTATATGCATAAGGGGGTAATCATATAAAATTATTTAATATTGGTTAACAATTTATTTAAAATTACAAGGTGTTCAGATTTACTATTACGCCATTTACCTAAAACCATATCTTTGGTCGGCTTTTGCACCCAAAATTTGCCTTTAATAACTACTGACTCTTAGAGTCACACAAAGAATGTCATAAAGAATTGAGACCAGTCTTTCGAAACAGCAAATTTTAGGAAAAATTTCATTCCGAATGTATTTATACAGAGTGATTCAGAACTTAACCAAAAACAAATTTTTGAATGTAGAGGGGACCCTTACAAATACAATTTTGTAAACAAAATTAAAAAGGGGAGTTCGGAAATGATTTAAAGAAAATTTCTGCATGGCACTGGAAACTGATCCACTGTAAAACCTGTAATTGTGCAAGGCAAAGCATGCAGTCGGCGACCGGCAAGTGTAATCAAAAATGAATGGACAAAAAATTGAAAGAATGTTTCTCCCAAGAAAAGAAATGAATACAATTTCATAACATTTTATTTTATACTTATTATTATTTAATAAAAGTAATTTGTGGTGTTAATTAATAAAATAATTTGATATACCTAATGTTACAGCAACTGTTCAAAATTTTGTCCACCAACGTGTAAACACATTTGCTCGTGTGCCCGTCTTACACAGTTTCTACGAACTAACACAAATGTTGTCTTGCGTCTCCATAACACAAATGCTTCACCACAACACAAATGTTGGCTTGCTTCATCATAAATTTTTAGTATCCATCAACCCCGAGTTGTTATACACGTAAGCCATTTTTGACACTTGAAAAACGAATGTAAACACTATCGCAAAAACGTTACGTTATACTAAAATCGGATTTCTGTATTTGGATTCGCCTGGGCCACGTGAAGAGAGAGCTCATTGCGTACAGCGCACAACACTAATGACGCTAGAGGTGTATCTAAGGGTTATACACACTACAACTTCAATAATATTTTCCCCAGAAACTACAAGGATTTTAAAAAAATTTTTAACGAACATCAATTAGTTCGATTAAAGATGTATCATTAGTTACCTATCCATTATTATTTTGGTACAAAATTGATCAATATTAATTAGGTATTAAATAATTAAAAAAATCTCATTTCTGTGATTTTCTCTGATATCTAAGAAGCAAAATTAGTTGGAAAATAAAAAAAAGTTGTACTGAAACATAGGGCTATAATTGAACTGAATGAAAAAGTGAATTTTCATCAAGAAGGAATTTAATTGACACTAACAAAATGGGGGAAGTGAATAGTCAATCCATCACCTGTTTCAGTATATTTGATAAGATAGATTCAGTGTATAACTGAATGATTTCTGATAATAAACCTTTTCTTTAAATTACAGACGTAAATGCTGTCAAATTTAAAGCAACATAACATGAATTTTATTAATTTTTACTTCTTGAGGGAATTTGATTAGGAATGGAAGAGATAGCAACAGTTCCAAACTGTTAATTTTGCAATGAACTATGCGCATGTACATGCACATTTTTCTTTGTGTTTTAATTTTCCATCATATTCCATACTTTTAATTTTAGATGGTTGGACTGTTTCCACTTTGTTCATTCAATAGAAAACACTGATAGATGTTGCCATAACTATGTCGTTAGAATTATTATAGTCAAATATACAAGGTGATTCACAAACGGCGACCAAAAATAAAACCTTGTATTCTTGGTGAATTTTAAGGGAAGTCTTTCTTATAAAATTTTTACCTATGACTTTGAATTGTCAGTGTTGAGAGAAATAACTACTCCGAGAGCTATATGCCCTTATCGGCATTGAATTATACTCGCAACATCTAGTGCAACAGCTAGGATCGTTTGTAATCATCAGTCAATTTAACCCACCAGGCACACACCGGTTTCGGACTTATTAGTCCTCATCAGTGTGTGGGACAACCGACAAACGACCCAGCTGTTCTTCGTCGTATCGTCATGACAAGGAAATACATTGTACGCGGGAGCGTAAATGGCTCCATCTATCGTGCAGACTCCACACTGTGTCATTCAAATACAATTCTACCTACGACGCTTCGTTAAAAAGATACAGTGTGTTAAACTTAAAAAAATATTTTAAATTTTTTTAAATAATTTAAAAACTAGTAAATGAAATAATTTGAAATTGGGCATATGTATTTTATCTACACATTGTCCAAAATCTGAAACCTTTTTCTAAAATTTAGATGCTGCAATGACGGAGATACAGGGTATCGCTGACATAATTTTCTAAATAAAATAATCCGCCACTACTTTACGGTAACAATCATGATATTTTCGGATCTGTCTTTCAATTTTCTACAGTTTTAAAATTATTTAAAAAAAAATTGAAAATATTTTTAAAGTTTATCACCCTGTATCTTTTTAAGGAAGCGTCCTAGATAAAAACTATACGATAGACTCCCCTTAAAATTCACCAAAGAATGCGAGGTTTCATTTTTGGTAAATCACCCTGTATAAAAGTTAAATTAAAAATCAAAATTAGTAATGCCTACAAAATATTTTCATTTATCTTACCAAATAAATCAAGTTTCTCCGTTTCCCTTTTTTACGGTAATTAAAGTTTTAATGAACTTCCGTGTATACTAACTTTGTGGGTGTGCAAATAGCTTTTATTGAGTATTTAACATTCAAATAAAATTAGATTAGCATATAAGCTAGATATAACAACAAATTAATACAAACTTCGGTACTAAATTTTGAAAAAAGAACATGAACGAAGATCATAACACCTATTTTTGTTATAGTTGATATTTTGATACATTGTAAAACACTATAAAATATATTTACAAGTTGGTTAAATTCGATTTAGCCAAACCTGATGCGATGGATTTACTGAAATAATTCAGAGGAATCTAGGAGAAACAAAAATACCTACAAATAATTTGTTAAATAAAGGATGTAATTTCGAAGTAATTTTTTAATAAATGTTTTATATTCAAATTTCACTTTTATCGCCGCTAAGGCGCGCAGCTCATATTATTTAGCCCACGACATGGATTAAGAACTTTTATACAGCAGCACGAAAAGGGAACAATCAGTTAACTGTTTAATACCAGTGCATCCGCTAGTTACCACACAGACCCACCAAAATACAGTATTTCCACGTAAAGTACTTCGGGTTCATATACTTTAAAATCTAAATTTGTATTTTGAAGTAGTGGGAACGACAAATGCCGCAGTGGCGGCCTGACCGGCCTAAGTTTAACATCTGATCTGTGTAAGTGAAAAGCTTTGAATTTTATAAATATTAATTTTACTAACAACACCGCGTCCAAATTACATCGCCAACATTCGCGCTTCCTATTTAATTTAAGTATATTTGTATAACTAAGTAATTTTTGAGACTGTATTTTTAGACGGCGTTTACTTAACCTCAAAATACTTTTAATATATCCGTGTAATATATACAGTTCAAAGAACAAGTGTGGCGTTAAAAATGGGGTAGCCTAAATATTTAATATTTTTTTCATAATTTCTTACCTAACTTACGAGGAACATGTGTTTACAGACTAGTGCCAATTTTATTATTATAGATTACATAGTCACTTGTTGGACAGGTAACAGCTTAACTATAATATAACCCTAAAATGTAAATTGTTTATCTTTAACAAGTTGCTTATACTGGGTGTAAACGTTTTGAAAAATTAATAAAAGTAAATTCATGAATTTTAGTCAAAAACTTAAATTTTATAATTCTAATTTATGTATTTTTATGTTTTATTAATTATTAACCGTATTTTTGTGAAGCGGATATTATTTGCATAAAACAAGCACTTCTTCTGAAAAAAACTTGAACTATTATGTATGTTGTTTCTATGTGTATAATAAATAAACTAAATTGAGGATAGTATTCACGTAGATTGGAAAATGACCTCAGCAAAAAACCTTAAATTTTGGCTTATTAAGCCATTTGTAATATTATTATTGAGTTTTCGAATCTACACAATGCTACAAATTACCGATTTGGAATCTAAACTTTATTTAAAAAGTACTATCAAAATAACAGTTATATTTATTCCTTTTGAACTATTTAGTATTCAAGAAAAAATTATTCATCAATTTTTCAAATCGAGAATGTCGGTTTAAATTATAATTATTAAACAAATTAGTAAAACTTAAAAAAATTAAAAGTTGCTTGCTCGAGAAAATATTCAATAAAACTAAATAGTTCGGTTTTATATTCGCTTATAAAATATAGTAACTGAATCCAAATCTTCGAAACGTTTGAACGAAAACAATTAAACACCAATAACAAATATATAATTAGGTAAATTCTTATTTTTAATTCTGTAATAGTTACGACAAACAGTATTTTTAAAACGAAATTAATCATTTTTAATGTAAAACGTAATTTTTTATTTACATTTGATAAAAGCACCTGAGAATTACTGTAATCTCTTTTGCGTACCTTTTTTCTACTATAGGTTAATGTAGCTGGAGTATTTATACAGGGTATTTCAGAAAGACCTCCCGTAAATACAGGAGGTGATAGTACGACAAAAAATAAGAATTTTTTGTCATATGAACTATATGTCTATCTCCTCTTATTTTCGAGATACAGAGCTTTAAAATAATTTTTTTAAATATAATTTTCACGAAAATTTGCAAATGGTGCGAAACATTTTTATGAAATTTTGTACTTCAGAGTGTTTAAGGACGCCAAATACGCTGGTCTAATTATTTTTTGGATATTTCATAGAGGCCGCTAGTTATGCTAAATTCCTGTTACATTTTAAGTTCTAATTTTTTTGAGGTTAGGTTTTTTACCATTCGGGCTCCAATTTCTAATGTACAATTTTATTTTCTAAAAATAATGTATTCTTGTTAGAACTTCCTAACGTGGATGATTTTCGAGAAAAAAGATTTTTAATTGAACTTTTACAATATTACGGTGTATAAAATAAGTGACTTTTCTCCAAGTAGGCTTATGTCAAAACTTATTGATGGATGTCTCATAAACAACACATACATTCTTAGTAATATTTTAAACTCTAATTAACTTTATATCAAAATTTTAGTGATTATTAGTGACTGTAGCAATGACTAATCACCCCCTGTATTTACGGGAGGTCTTTATGAAACACCCTGTATATTTCTCAGTTTTATTATCACCACCCAAAGTACATTAGAATGAAATGTTCATATTCATAATTAAATGTTTATACTTGAATTTAATACGAACAACCAAATATATTGAAGAATCGGAATGCTTAACATGTAACTTAAAATACTACTTCTATTCAAACACATCCAGACGTACGTTATAAACATGGGGATATTTTTAGAGACTCGCCTACCCAATTTTCAAGCTTTCTATAAAAGCGTCTTGGTCGAAGTATATGAAAAACTATATCTCACGAAATATCCCGTTTCATATCACTTCTGCACTTAGATTTAATGGACAGTAGTAAGCAAAAGCTTGTATACAACTTCATTTATTAAATATTTTAATCATTTTTTTTTAAATCACACTAAATCCAACTGATTTATTTTTTCTTTACTAATAGATATGTTAAATATTCCAATTCATTGCCAAACAGGTGCTTGCAAATGATTGAACAATTTGGTTGGTGGTTGCCACGTCATCAATTTAAGTTTCTTGATCCTTGCAACTGTCGATTATTATTCTTGACTCTTCATTTTATGTTACACTTACATTCTTCCAATTTTGTGCTAATATACTTGCATGTTTGTCCAATGTATGCTCTGCTGCAAGTACAAAAAGGCCTTCGTACTCGAAGTGCATCGTCTTAGGAAAGGTTGGCCTTATCTTGCTTGCTGCAGGCAGTATTAATTGAGGCTATATCTTCAGTATATTCTTGTAAAGACAATTTGGTTGTTGTCCTCTGAGGGTTCTTCGTAGATGATATTGTTTGTTACCCAATTGTACTGGTTCTTACTCGTTGCACTAATCCATTGAGGATACCTTACTTCTGGATCTCAGCTGATATCTGCATGTATTCTCTCTATTGTCTAACAACAGGTGTCATGGACCTAATTCTATGACAACTCATGACAAAAGTATTGTCAACATGTCTGAACCAACACGTTAACTTGTTGCTGACTCTTTGGCCTTCTTCTACAAACTTCTGTATGGATATTTACCAAGGCCGAAAATATAGATGAAACTACTTCTTCAGTTTGTTCATAAAACAGAAGAATGTTCGTCAGGCACACTTTTGTCCAGTCTCTTAAATTCTCATCCATCATATGCAATGAGCTTCCGAGCTACAAAGCTTCCTTAATTGGTACTTTTGAAAATAGTAATGTCACGTCAATGTCATTTGGAATCTTGCTAACAAAACCTGTAGATATTACATGCCTTCCATTTTCATTCATAGTTTATAATAGTAAGTAAATAATAACACTCATTAATGCTTTACTACGTTGAAATATTATTAGTAGTCGTAAAAGTTAAAATAGCATCAATGTAACTTAAAATACACCTACTCCAGGACAAAATGAAAAACCGACTTGTTTTGCTCAAAAATAATTTCATTTACATCATATATTCCTTGGCAGAAACAGTAATTATGTTAAAGTCAGGGGTTTATTATTAAATACATGACTGTATTCCCTGCCAATTTAATCCTGTCGATAGATGGATTACTGCTGTTCAGTCAGTGTTAATATTGACAATAAGTTTATGAATCATTATTTTCAGCGCAGTTACTTCATTAAAGTTATTAATAAAGTATGCATTAAATATTAATTAACATCCTCCAATGTCTCCTAAAAAGGAAGTTATAGAATACTTTGGTCTGGTTTGTAGAGTTCTTCTTTAATACTAAACCATCAGGTTTCCCATCGGAAATTTTAAATATCCTTTCAAAACAGTACTACAAATAACAAAGTAATCACAATCAGATTATTAATACTGCTTCTTGCCAACTGTTTCTCATGGATAAAAAATTTGATTGAGGCACGTTTATAAATAACAGATCACGGCCACTTTGATACTTTCGTTGTGCTCTCAGCTTCATTGTTTAAGTGACAAAGCTTACTTGAGACAGTAAAATATTGTTTCAATTTTTTTGGAATTATATAGGTAGGTAAGTGTTATAGTTAAACATATAAATTTTATGTTTTGAAGACGGGAAAAAATGTTCTTGTATCGACATGTTTCTGCATATATTTATATTAGAACGTAATCTTGATTTTATGCTTTTTTCGTCAGGACTTATACAGGGTGAATCAACGCTTTATAAATGTCATACAATGTTCACAAAATCGTAACAAATTTTGTTTTTTTTTTTCAAATGGAACACCCTGTATTTTTTAACGGGGCGTGAAAGACCTTCTAAAAATCTACAACTTTCGTAATAGGTGTTGGGTATCAGTTCCTCATATTTTCGCAAAAAAACAAAATTTTTGCGTTTGAAAAAGATAACATTTGGTACGACTTTGTGAACACTCTGTATGACATTTATAAACAGTGACCACTTTAGAATTTACGGTAAACCTAGTAGGTACAATCTGTGTGACAATAACTTAGATTGTAACTCAGAAAAAAATTAGTATATCAGCAACGATCAAGTGTAACGCCGAAAATGTCATTTTTTATATTAAAATATTAATATCTCGGAAACGGCAGATTTTTTAGAACATAGTACCTATTACGAAAAATTGCATAATTCCATGTAAAATATAAATATCCTGAAATGTTCCATTGAAAAAAATACAACTTTGATCAGTTCTCCGAAAACGAATCACTCTGTATAAGTCAAATTATTTTTAAATTGTGCATTTCTTGCCAATTTAGTCACTTAAGTAAAACAATCTTAAAGGAAGAAAAATAGATTAATCCAATGTTATAATATTTTAGTATAAATGTTATAACCTTAATATAATCTTAATTCAAGATATTTTTTCGTATATGAAAGCGAAGAAAAATTGATATTTTCTGATAAAAATGTTTGTTTTTAATTCAAACCATACCTCCAATCGATATCAATTACTAAATACTATTCTAAAAATCATCATGTAGATATACTGCGTATGTTACAAAATATCTTAAAATTCTGTCCTACATGGGGATGTTAAATTTATCTCAATCTATATTATATAATGTCTTCATCTAGCCGCTAGAGGGTGGTAAAAAAATATTATTATTTTTTCTAAATAACTAAAACTGAAATAATTGCATTCGCAGAAATGACAAAAGTACTACAACACCTAAGCAATATGGCAATTAAAATTAATTTTACAACCAAGTGTTTCTCTCAAATTCTCAGTTGCAAACTCAAGGTGATTGCTTATGGTATAATATAGTATATACAGGGTGATTCAGAACTTACCCCAAAAAAAATTGTCGGTTGTATATGGGAATCATGTAAAGAAAAAATCAAAAAGAGCAGTTCGAAAATGATTTAAAAATACACTTCTTCACGGCACTAGAAACTGGTCCACTGTAAAACCTGACCCCGCACAATGTGACCGGCATGGCGATCAAGATTCACCATAAATTAAAACGATATCCATCAATTCCGAGTTGCTATACACGCAAGCTATTTTTAACACTAACTACTAAAAAACTATTGTAAACACTATCGCAACGACGATTGTAAAATCTGATTTCAATATTCGGAGTCGCTGAGGCCACGTGGCTCCCCACCCCTATTGCGCATGACGCTAGAAACTACAGTTGTCCAGATATGTAATGGTTGAAAGTATTACAACTTCAATTTTTTTCTCGGAAAATTTAAGGATTTTACAAAATTTTTTCTTACGATATGGACTCCATTTCTCATGCCGCATCTATTCCCAAATTTTTTTGGATAAGTTGTGAATCACCCTGTATAATTAAGTTAATTCTACTGAAAATTGTATCCTAGCTGGCGTACAGAAAGGAGTTATAATTTAGATTCGTTAATGTAATCTAAGAAACTAAGATGAGAGCCTTGAGGAACCTTAACGTGACAGAAAAAGCTTTAGGAATGTAATGGCCACTAACTAGGATATTACAATTTACAATTACAATTATTTGCAATTTGCGATAAAGATATGATGTCCAACACAAGAGGATCCCATGTATATGTCAACCCTTGTTGTTCTCGGATTAAGCTCTGTGGGGGCGGACCCGCTATCAGAACTCCTAGTCCCATCCTAATTCGATTCTTAATAATAATAATTTTAATTTAAACCAAAATATTATTTTGTGCGCGAAATTAGAACATTTCTCTTTGTTCCAGGCTCCTTAGTTCGTTTGCGACCGGCGACGGTGAAGACCTCGAAGAGCTGTGCGATTCCATAGCAAATAATGAAATAGCTGTTGAAGCGATCTCAGAAAGGCTGACTGAAGTGACGGGCTTAGCCGAAGAACTGGATCAAGCTCTACACAGTGCACAACAAGACTGTTTGGTGTTTTCGACGGCCTCAACGTCTACTTCTTCATTAACCGAACCTATTAACACTATATCCGCTGTTTACAAAGCTATGGAAAATAATCCGACTAATCCCGAGGTTAGTTTATTAAAACATAAGTATGAGAGCGCTATTTACAATCTTTGCCTTTCTAACGTGATTTGCATGTGCGCCAATCGGAGAATGGTGGCGAGTTTTACTAATTGAAAGTGGGAAAATGATTTAAACCTTCTTATTTATCTTTTTCGTGTTAATTGGCACAAGTATGACGAACATGTATATCTAGTCACTAACGTATTACCAAAATCGCATTATTTATGGAATAATTATTAAGTTTTAATATATTATTGCTTCTTCATTTGATCGGTTTTCAAAGTCAATGATTTATTAATATCAAAATGGTACTTCTCATCCTATTTACATAAATATCTCCAATACTGTTAGAGAACCTATATTCAATTTGAAAGAGTTTTAAATTTCCTAAGTCTCAAAGTAAAAATATTCTGGGTGTCCCGTTTAAAATAACCAAGTTAACACTGTTTAAAGTTGAGAAAAGTATCCACCCTGTACAATACTAAGTGGCGACAAATATAATAATTTATAACTTCAAGGATTCAAAATACACTCTCCAAAGCTGCTTCCTTAAAACTATTTTTTTATTGTTGATATTAAATTTCTACGCTAAGACTGCATTTTCACTCAAATTGAAATATCTCACAAACCATAATTCCTGGATATATAGAACCTTTAAATAAAGTTCACCTATTTTTTATGGTGCTTTCAAAAATTTTGTAAAATACAGGGTGTTCCTTTTAGAAATACATAATTTTGATATGGTACGCTTTTCCTGGACATCCTGTATATTTCAAAATATTTTCAAAATGTAGCCGTAATCAACCTACATATACCCGCCTAACTAGATTTCTATAACATTTGCCGTTTGGTCTCTAGTGACTGAGACGTTACTGGTGGCCCACCCTGTATATCTAACATCAAACTCGTGCTGATCCATAGGGCTGAAAGGTTCTTTGTTCTTATTAAAAGGTCCCAAAATTGCCAATTAAATTCTAAATCTTTAAAAGCTGTTTTACATTGACAATTTATTGATCAATTAATTGATGAAGTCGCTTCATCAAGAAATTGGACAAGTATAATGCACCAAATCAGCTGTCAAATAACTTCAACAATTTATTCATCAAGTTCTTGACGAAGCATGTTCTAATTTTCGTCAATTTCTTCATGAACTTCGGAAGTACCAACCCAACAGATTTCCAGCCTCAGATCAGTAATGAGGTTATGTTATTGGAATATGTAAATAATTGTGTGGCGTCGTGCTAGTTTTGCATTGTTTTTACTGATTTGTTATTTACAAAAACTAATATTTATATAATATGTGTCAGAACGGTACCGCTGTTGTATCACTACAATTATGAGTGGAAAGGTGACATTTTTGAAATTTATTTGCTTCTTTGATTCATTGGTAGAACTGATTCATACGTCAAAAAACTTGACAAAGTCTGTAGCAGTGTAAAACCACACTATTTACCAATAAATTCGTGAATTAATTGATGAAGAACTTCGTCATTTTATTGATGAATAAATTGTCAATGTAAAACAGCTAAAACGATATCTTTTTATCAAAACAAAAGAGGAGACATTTTACGTAAAATAATTATTTTATATTAAATATGAAATCTCGCTAATTCTAATTTAACTCCTTTAACTAATGAGCTTTACATCTAAATTATAACAAACAATTAAAAACATACCGCTGATAATAAAGTTTATATTACTTATAAGATGACTTTTACATACCTATTTTAAATTTGAGCTTGTATGTGTACATAAACAATATAATACTAATTATATTAAAAAAATATTATTGCAATTTTTCCCTGATATACATCCCCTGTTCTATTTTCTTATCCGGGCATAAGTACTACTACATATACCGAGTCAAATACAAAGCAAAATGAGTAGAATTGACCTTAATTTCTGAAAAAAAATTGTATATTTATTATATTAAATGCTATACCATTTTCATATATAGTTCTCTTATTTTTACTTTATTGAAAAGGTATTAAACTAGTTCGAATAAATTTTACATACCTAGATTTTTAAATTTTTTATATCAAAGAACATCTGTATGACTTCTTTTGATAGAATTTTTAGGAACTTTTGTGATTTATTTGAATTAGCTTAGTGCCTTTAAAATAAAATAAAAAATACAGCAGCTAATAATAAAATGTATTTTTCTTGAACTAATTTGACCCTTTGACCTAATACCTTTGACAGAAGTTTAAAAAATGGACTAAGTATAACACGCAACCAGCTGTGCACCATTATTGAGATGATGGAGGTAGATGTGTGAGTGAAGGCAAGAAGATCACTGAATAGTGTTATTTATCTATATTTTTTAAACTCGCAAAAAATACGAATTACCATGTCTGCAATTCGGGCGTAACTAAATTTATAAATAATGGTAACATGTAGTACACAAAAAATATTTTACTAATTGCAACCCAAATAATTCAGTGTTCCACTATAAGTCAACATTATAAATTATATCTGGCTACTGGCGAGTTTATATTTAACTAACTTCTGATTCATAAGAGTGGCCTAATTTTACCGGATATTACTACACTGTATTGATTATGAATGGCCGCGCTAACTGATATTAATGTCTATTATCCTTTTGCACCCTTTGTCAAAACTAAGAAGTTGTTTATCAAATGCTATATATATCGAAAATTATTGATTTTATTACCTATACACATACTCCTTTCTTCACGTACCAGTAGATACTTAGAACTATTTGCAACCGAATTAATTCAATACAGTCATTACATATTTGCAAAAATTGTTTATTTATTTATAAACTATTAGGTATTTTATTTTATCTACAACATCTTGATGGACTGGTTTAAAAGATTATTTTGATCTTCTCTGCTTCCGAATTGTTTTTTTCCTCTTTTTAAGAGAATTTTAATGGTTTTCTCGAACTTTATAGTGCGGGCAACGTCTACCTTATGCTCATCAACCGTATTTCTCTGGTGGTTGTTTCCCGGATATCATCATTTATTTAACTTCACAAAGATTGAGTGAAGGTTGTAGCTCTTGTTCAAAAAACTTGATTTGTTGTAACAATAATAACGTTGAGAATTATTATTTTGTATATGTACATGAATTTCCATTTAATCTTTCGTGTAAAGCACGGAAAATTGATAACTGGTAAGTTATTGACTAGTCCCGAAGCTGAAATTGGAGGTTAAGCTCTTTGAGCGGTAACTATCCTGGATTGTAGTGTCCTCGTCCACAATGTAGCGGTGCTTGAGTGTATGAATTATTTCTCTTTTTCTGGATTTACTTTTACAAGTCTATTGAATGTCCTGTATCTGTCATCTGCTTCGCAATTGCTAGTTTCTCTTCCTTTTTTCTTATTTGACTCTTGTGTTCCTCTGTTCTCGTACTGTATGTTCAATGAAGAGTACATCTTATCTTGGCAAATGATGCCATTTTCCTAAATTTTAGATATCCTACTCATGGTTTGTTCAATATATCTGGTCTTGTTCTATTTTTTCTAAGTGCTGATCGTAAGTAATGTACTTTATCGTCATCAGCAGATCACAAGGTCGCAGTGGAGGGACAGATTTTGGCCTATTCATCAGAAAACCTAACCTTATCTAGTTCATCGCCCAAATGTTCTGCAGTGTTATTCCACAAAAATCTCTTAAAAACGAGACATAAGTTTAGCCTTTTCGTTTAAGACCTATAAATTATAGATCGTGTAAACTAAAGATGTTGTACAAAAATAATAATAATACCGTATGTAAAGCGTACAAATGTTTAAGATGCGTTCAATTCGATTCGAGACGAAATATTTTATAGTGTAGATGGGTCAATCCTATGAGAGTTGTTCATGTTAAAATGTATGCAAATAAGATACATAGTTATACAGTTCACAAATATTTAAACTACTTAGAAATCATCCTGTATATAAATAAACAATTTATATATTTATTTATTTAAGTAACTATCCTTTTTCCTCTTAAAGGTAGTTCCATTTTAACACGATTATTTTGTCCATATTTTTCACATTCGCAGTGTATATTTATTATAAATAACTGCAGTCCCTTGCATTTTTTTTTTCATTTTTTGATTGAGTTATTAATTAGAATTGTCCACTACGTTTCACGTTATTGATTTTTTGAATTTATTGCCCACGAAGCATGGACCATTCGTTATAAATGTACAGAGAAAAAGAAAAAATATAAAAAGTCAACGTATTTTATTGCGAAACAAATTAACATAGTACAAATAATATAACAATAACAATATGCAACATAGGTAGCGTCATGGGGTCCAGTCTGATGCGTAGGTAAATCTATTTAATACTGCTTAAAAACCACCCCCACCGCCGCTGAGGGCGCCTATACCTCCATGGGAGGAATGTCCTTCGTACCTCACTTTGTAGTCGATACCGTGCTTGCCCGCCACATAATCCACGATACGCTTTCTGCCGTCAGGCTGCAGGAGTTCGTAGCGGCCTTTGGTTTCCTTGCCGTCCCTGACTTCGTACTGACTCTTGATATCGTGGTGCTTCAGGTCATGGACGGCGTAGTCGTAGTGATAGTGAGGTGGCGCCTAAAATATCGTTATGATAATATTCTGTCGTTAACATAACATTTATTACATGTAATATTAAGACTTTTCCTTCCTATTAGCTGATTCTAGAATCTTAAGATATAGTTACTTTACTTTTGAGATCAATTCAAATTGATAATAAAATTTGTTTCTAAATTTTCGATAAATATGTGTAACTTTAATAAACAGACAAGTCATTAATAATAGTCAAAATAAAAAATTGTCTATCCATAGAACATTTTTGTTCAAAACGATGCTAACAGATATTCGAAAGACTGTAAAATCTCTATATCCAAATACCTAACTTATGAGTTTCAGTTAATGCTAAATATTTCTTCAAAATGTTGCTTTGTATTATGTTGGTTACTAAAGACCTTCTTCACTATTAGCTTGTATCAGACTAGCAAATGTTTGTCAAATTTATTCAATCAAAATAACTTGATAATGAAATTGAA